ATCGGGGTGCACGTACCCTTTCAGATCCCTACTTTTGTATCTTTGGGGTAAATACCCAGTAGTGCAATTGCTGGGTCATAGGGTAGCTCTATTTTCAACTTTTTGAGGAACCTCCATACTGTTTTCCAGAGTGGCTGCACCAGCTTGCATTCCCACCAACAGCATACACATGTTTTTAAAGAATATCTAGAGCCCATGTCACTTAGGATCTGGGGACCAGGGAAAGAATGCTCAGAAAGGAATGGGCCAACTATCCCCAAGGTGGACAGAAGGTTGGGAATATTTCATGTTTCCACCAGGCAAAGTGCAGATTTCCTAGAATAGGGACCAGTGAGTAGAGTCCTTATGAGGATAGTCCCTTGGGAGTGAGAGGACATTGCCCTAGACTATGAAGTCTGCTCCATCCATACTAACAAAGTGTAAAAGCAAGCCCCAAAGGATTCAAACAGAGTAACTCAACTATGTCCTCATAGTAACTCAACTATGTCCTAAAACAAAGCCCAACCATATATGAAGGACTTCACAAATCCAGTAATGTCAGACTTACAATGTTCTGAATCCAGTCAAAAGCTATCAGACATACAAAGAAGCAGGAAAATAGAACCTAAAAACAGTAGAAAAGATAATCAAGAAACAAGACCTGGAAATGACACAAATGACAGAATTAGCAGACAAGGAGGTTGGAACCACATATTATAAATAGACCTCATAAGCTAAACAAGATAAGAAAAAAGATGAATGTGATGAGGAAAGAATGAAAGATATCAAAAAGGAGCAAAGTGAATTTCTAGAGATGAAAAACATGCTACCTAAAGTGATAAATACACTAGATGGATTAACATTCAGATAAGATACTGCAGAAAACAGTATCAGTGAGCTCGAAGACATCACCATAGAAACTATCAAAAATAAAAGAGAAAAAGACTAAGTGAACATCAGTCGCCTGTATGATCATACCAAATGGGTCTGATATTTCTGTAGAGTCCCAGAAGGAGATAAAAAATGTTGAAATAAAAAATGTCTGAAACTTTCCCAAATTTAATTAAAATGATAAAACCACAGATTCAAGAAGCTTAAGAAACTCCTAATAGAAGATACAAGGAGAAAATCACACCAAGGCACATTATCATCAAATTGCTGAAATATAATGGTAGAAAGAATACCTTAAAATCGGTCAGGGAAAAAGAAGACATATGATGCACAGAGAAATAAAATTAAGATGACAGCAGTCTTCTCTTCAAAAATCATGAAAGCCAAAAGACAGTGGAACAGTATCTTTACAGTACTGAAAGAAAAAAACTATCTCCACATGGAATTCTGTACTCAGCAACAATATATTTCCAAACTGAAGACAAAATACTTTTTCAGACAAACAGAAAGCCAAGACAATTCGTTGCCAGCAGACCTGAGATACAAGAATTATTAAAGGAAGTTATTCAAGAAGAAGAATAGTTATTCAAGAAAAATGATACCAAATAGAAATTTAGATTTACCAAAAGGAATGAACAAGACCAGAAAGAGTAACTATGTGGGTAAATACTTGATAATCAGTCAATATAGATGAAATATTTTCTCATTTTAAAAATCTCTTTAAAATGTAATCGACTATTTAAAATAAATATAGTATCAATGTTTGTGGGGTATAAAACATGAAAATGTGTGACAACAATAGCAAAAAGGATGAGAGGAAGGAGAAAGAAATATATTGTTGTAATATCCTCTGCACTGAACTTTAAGCCATATGTAATATTATTTGAAAATAAA